CTTTATAAAAATTAAATCAACATATATCATGAACTTAAATGTAAAATAGAGAATGACACCTTTTAGAAATATCATAGCAGAAAATATTTATGGGTGGGAATGACAGAGAATTCAATATACTTGACACAAAAAAGATACAAAAAGAGATCACGAAAATCTTTTTTATAAGACATGGGAGAGACATATTCACGTTTGTGTTTTTAATAGATTATTCTTTTGTCTATGGAGAGAATGGATTAAAGAGGGGCAGGATGGCCATGACAACTGAACTTATTGCAGTTTAGGTAAGAGATCATGGTGTCTGGGAATGAAAATGGAAAGATAGAAATGGAATCCAGAGATATTGCAAAAATAGAGTACAATGCACTCTATGAGTAATTAGATAGATGTGGAAAGTGAAGTTCTAAAAGGGAAGGATCAAGGATGACTGCAAGGTTTCTGGCTTATGTAACCGTGCGGGTCAGAGTGACCATTTACTGTGGAGGAATGCTGGAGGTAGACTGGGTTTCTGAGAGCAGATTTTGACTCTGCAGTTTACACACAATGGTATTACTGTTGCCGGCACCGGCATTCAGGTGAGTACAAGTACCATACAGCTCAGAAGAGAGATTTAGAGACTGCTTTTCTTTTTGCTCCAAGATCCACATTTGTAAATTCTAGGGAAAATTGATTAATTTATTATAAAGATACCTTTTATAAGACCAATTTAGCCATTCTTGGCCTACTTTAATGCAGAGAAGACTTTGAGGTAATATTCAAATTGATTGGGTCATTTTGGTGTTTGAAAAACAGTCTCTTCAGTATTAAGCAGTTTGTTACCAAACACGTCTAAATTTATCGAAGACACATAACGATGGTGGTAATGATGATAGTTAATAGTCATTGAGTCCTTTCTATGCTCCAGGCACCATTCTATGGGCTTTAAGTATATAAATTCATTTAAGTATCTTCAAAACCCTGGGTACTATTAATATCCCCATTTTACAGATGAGGAAATACTGCATAGTCCTCTGGAACCTGGTCCTGTCAGACTGGGTTCACCTCAGGCCACTGAACATCTTCCTTTGATTTCTCTCATAAACTGGCGTTTTCTCAAATGCACCAGGCCACTGAGTTGTCTTCACATCCATAATTGCTATTCTGCCCCAAAAGCTTCCTCATTCACACCTTGCCCCCATCTTTTTGCCATGCTAATGCCTATTGATCCCACTGCCCATGCCAGGTCACTTTCTCAAAGAAACCTAAATTAAGTACTCTTTTAGAAACGACTTCTGCTTCCTGACACTTAACACTATTGTAAGTCAGTAATTAATTTACAATTCATTGTTTAGTGTATGTTTCCTTGTTTCCTCAATTATAATGTAAGTTCCATGAGGGTGGGGATCGGGGGGAGTGGGCCTGGTGTCTTTTATTCACAGTTGATTCCCACAGAACCTCGATATTGTTTTGGTGCACCAACAGTTACATCATGAGCTAATTCGCCATTAAGACTCAGCATTATGATAAATGAAATAAGCCAGACATGGAAAGAAAAATACTGCATGATCTCACTTATATGTCCAATCTACAAAAAAGTCAAATATGGAGAAAGAGAGTAGAAAAGTGTTTACCAGGGGCATGGAGGTGGAGGATATGAGGAGAAGGAAGTCAAAGTTTTGACTTTGCAGTTACGTAAGATGAACAAGTCTAGAGATACAATGTACAGCAGGAGAACTATAGTTAATAATATTGTATTTCATATTGGAAATTTGCTAAAAGAGTAGATTTTAGGTACTCTTATCAAAAAGATAAACAGGAAGAAGGATATCAATATGAGACAATGGATATGTATGTTTATTTCCTTACCTGTAGTAATCATTTCACTATGTATATGTGTATCAAAATGTCATTTTATATACCTAAATATACACAGTTAAAAAATAAAATAAAAGGAAATAAAAAGACTCAGAAGAGTTAAGAAAAGATACAAAAAGAAAAAAGGTCCTATAAAAAT